GCCAATTTCTAGCCATAGAATAATGGCGCGCGCGCTCTGAACTGATGACATGACCGACAAACACAAAAAACCCAGACACCAACTTTTTGACCCTGGGTGACCACCCCAACGAATCCCCCCCCTGCCCGCTAACCTTTTCTGTTTCAGAAACATCCAGGATCAAGAGACGAAGACAACGTCATACACACACACACATACACACCCCCGATACCCTCCTTACCCCTTCACCACCGTGCTAGCGCGCGCCATTATTCCATGGCTAGAAATTGGCCTCAATGATTTGGGATCGAGGGGGATTATTCCTCTTTATCCTGCCTCATCTCGTGTAGGCCTGGACAGCCTTCGTAGGTGGGCCCCATCCGTCGTCTACCCCGACCGCAAATGCGGCCGGTGTAGGCGCTTTGTGGGACCTCCTTTTGTCCTGGCTGGGCCCCGCCGGCTAGGGCCCTTTCTTCTGGCGCTCTTCATGCTTCGCCAACTCGTCTGTGTAAACCCCGGGGGTGGTGTCATGTTTATGTATGATATGGTTGGGTAGGGTAATGCGGCTATGCAGCCTGGGATGCGCTTTGCTAAGGTTGGGTAGGCGCTCAAGTGAAGACTCTGTGCGCTGAACGCGACTATTGTTAGCACTTTATGAACGCACTCGTAGCTGTCAATAATTTTCAAATTTTTATGGTTTGAAGTTCTAATTTGTCTGATTATTTAAAATTTAATTTTAAAATAATGGATATTTTGCATTCAAGTAATTCATTCTATTCTGTTAACGCCTAACTACTACGAATTATCTGCTTTATATATTTTTTTCAGAATACAAAGTGATAAGTAAAATCGGGGAGGGATCTTTTTCCGAAGTTTTAAAATGTGAACACAACGAAACGGGGGTATATTATGCTGCAAAACGGCTAAAAAAAATTTATAGAACGTAAGACTTGTAGTATCGGTTATACAAAATTTATTTATTTAATTTTTAGCGAAGACAGTATTATGACTTGTGCAGAGATGATAGCTGCACAGAAACTTCCATACCATCCAAATATTTTAAATATGTTTGAACACCACTAGTATGTTAGTAATGTCTTTATATGTTTTAAATTAAAATTAAACATATTTCTTTTAGCGACTCATTTTCTGGAAAAGTAACATTTATTTTTGAGTTAATGGATATGAGTTTACACGATTATCTAAAAACAAAAAGAAGGTAAGTATATGCATGTTTTATACATCTTGATTAGAACAGACACAAAATTCAAGCATTAATATAGTGCATTTCTATTTTTCAATACCTTATATATTATGTTATAACTTTGTTGCTATTTTCAACAATAATGATAAATTACCTGCTAATAATAATATTTATTACTACTATGCATTATTATTTGTCAACCTTTTTTTAGAGGATTATCCGAGCATCGAGCAAAAAAGTATTTATATCAAGTATTAAGAGGCCTAGAACATTTACACAGACATGGTCTTTTTCACAGAGATGTTAAACCAGAAAATATTTTAATAAAATTCCCTAGCCTGTTATACACGCCATTGTCAAAGACAAATCCTGCAAGTATATACTAAATATTTACTGTTCAATAAAAACGTTTTGTAGACATCAAAATATTTTAGTTTTTATCTATTTATTTTTAGAGCGAGATAATAAAACTTGCCGATTTAGGGTCAGTCAGAGGAATTTACAGTGTGCCCCCTTACACAGAATACATTTCAACAAGATGGTACCGGTCTCCTGAATGTTTATTGACTGTGGGAAATTATGGATCAAAAATGGACATATGGGCAGCTGGATGTGTTTTCTATGAAGTCATAACGTAAGCAATATACACGGTGGTCCTTAAACGCGTTCTGATAATAGGAAAGGTGATTTTAAACCTCTTTAAGGAAAAATGTCCTAAAATGATTTAGGGTACTTTTTGTAACATGTTCCAGCGACTGTTTTTAATAAATTAAAAAAAAGTATTAATCAGGTTTACTTAAAACATCCCAGAAAAGCAAACATAATTATTGTTTCTATAAATGTTACACTTATAACTTATGTTGTTTTTGTATCACTTAGTCTTAGAGAAATAGCCGTTAAAAATTTTTGAAAAATATTACATAAGTATATACAAGGTGTCCCGAAATTATGGGGCAATATTTCTACAGGGTATTCTATGTCGAAAATGATTACTTTTTCTTTATATAAACGTGTGTCCAAAAATTCTCTCTAAGGAAGTTATAGCCACTTAAAGGGACCATTCTTATCATCTTTTTTTTCTAAATAACTCCGAAACCAGTTGAGATAAATTTATAAAATTTGATCTAGTTTAACTCTAGTTATTTAGAAAAAAACATCAGAGTGGCCCTTTTAAGTGGCTATAACTTCCTTAGGAAGAATTTTTGAACCCATGATTATATAAAGAAAAAGTAATCTTTTTCGACATAGAACACCCTGTAGAAATATTTCCCCCTAATTTTGGGACACCCTGTATACATAATATCTCGAAAGATGACGTTGATAAGATAAATGAAACTTGGGCTGATCACTTAGCCAAGTAAAGGTAAAAATTCAGTATACAATTATATCGACAGAATTCCAATGTCACCGAGTATTTTCAAAATTGCATTTCAACTGTTATTGTTATTAAAAACACAATTCAATTTCAAGTTACATTTTTCTAGCCTAAAAAACTCAACAACGACGCATCGCAGGACAAAAACTCAAGAGAGCTGTTATCTTTCAAATTGAATGGGGATTTCAAAAATAATTTTATTTGGGAAAAAAACATTGGGGGTACCATTTTTTTCTTTAAAAATATATAATATTTAATTATAAAATTATTTTTTACCAATGAATCTTATTTTACAAGGAATGGAGTTATAAATTTTTATAATTTGTATGTGTGGAATGATGAGAATCCTAAAGAAACACGACAATAATGACATTACCTGATAGCCACAGTAATCAACATTTAGTTTTCATCTCCTACTGAACACAAAATTTTAAATCCGTGTCACTGCTACGCAAACCGAATCATACACAGACCTGCAAATAATGCCATTTTTCTCAAGAATGGTTTTTTGTATGTGATTTTCTCTAGAGACAATTAATTTTTTAAATAAAACGACCTTTTCAATGTTGCTGCCCGTTTAAAAAAAATATGACCACTGTAAAAGTTTTGACCACTAAAAGGCAACGTAACGTAACAGGTAACGCAAAAAATCGATTTGACTAAAGCTTTAAGAAATAATATGCCATAATAGTCCAAATAAATGTACCAAATTTTAACGCAATCCGTAAAAGGGTTATAAAGTTATTAGTTAAAGTCGAGGTTAAAGTAGTGCCCTGTATACAGGCCGTTACAAGTTCGCTTTTCACTACAGAGATCTCGAAACGGTAAGAGATACGAAGTAGCTTAAATGGGGGGGAAAGTTGCATAATCAGAGGACCAACATTATGCCTCCATTTTTTGGAGGCTAACATGATTAGTTTTCGAAATATTGAAAATACCGAAATTTTGGAAATTTGTTTTTGTTTCATTTCAGCCTTGTTTGAGGTGATATTGAAAAAAGAAGAACACTTTCCCATGGCAATTTTTTGTCCTTTATCGAATGGCATAATCAATTTTTATATGTAACGTTTTGTCTCTCCAGGACCACCATCAACTTCATTTTTTTTTAAATATAACCCTGGATATTTTATTACATTTTTTGCAAGCCTTCACGACCCCAATACTGTACTGTCTCAGCCTGAACCAGATTCAGACGTCTCGAAAAACTCTTCTTCAAAGTATTCGTTCCAAATTTATATATATTTTTTAGATTTCTGTTTCTTAAATTATCCTACACTTTAAGTGTCGTTAAACCCTATGAAATCCACCTAGTTATTTAAATTATTACCATCACGCGTTACAATAAAACATTATTAGAGTTGTAATCCCGTGTTCATAGTTATTTGTGTGCTCATAATATTTCTAGGTAATAAAATTTCCAGGGTCGTATTTAAAAAATTGAAGTTAATGATGGTCCTGGAGAGACGAAACGTTACATATAAAAATAAAAATTGATTATGCCATTCGATAGAGGGCAAAAAGTTGCCCTCATTTAAGCTACTTTGTATCTTATTTGCAACAGTCTCATTTCATTTTTAATCTCAGCTATATTTTGTATTGCATTTAAAATTACTGAACTTTAATATATTGTGTTCAGGTTGAGACCACTCTTTCCTGGTAGTAACGAAATTGACCAGCTGTCCAAAATTCATCAAATTCTTGGATCACCGTCTATACAGTTTCTTAGCAGATTGAAAACAAGGCAAGTCTAATTTTATTGAAATATTAATTTAGTTTTTTACTTTTCTTCTGTCTTAGATCCAGGAATTGCATATTCTTTCCAAAACTGAAAGGTACAGGTATTGACGCCCTACTTCCTTTCATTTCTAGAAATGGAAGGAATGTTTTACGTGCTATGATAGAATATGATCCAGAGAAAAGAATTAATGTCAAAAGGCTTTTAAAAAATAATTACTTTGATGATATAAAGTATGACAACATGAAATACAGTAGTACGAAAAATAAAATATTTTCTTTTTAGAGAAGATTATCAAAGAATAGAAAACAAATCGCAATGTAAAACTCATGGGTGGTTAAAACCAGAGCGATTAAAGAGAAGTATGGGAGATGATGGAAGTTTAGTAACCAATACTAATTTGGTAATATTTCGAATTCAATTTTATTATTATTATTATTTATGTTTGAAAAAGATGTAATTTGAATAGGTTCAAACTTCATTGCAGGGCCCTTCTCCCTTTCTTGAATTTTTATGTTCAAAAGATTTGATTAAAATACAGGGTGTTCCTAAATAATTGTCGCAACGGAAAACTGTAAATTCCTCTTGAAAAAAGAAACATTTTTTTCCTCTTCCATTTTTCTCTCCGGGTTTTCTTTTTCGAGATAGACGCTGTTAAAACTTGAATTTTTTTTTTAGTTTTTCGCCAATATCTTAGGAATCGTTTGAACTACAGGACTGAGCTTTTGTACACACATTACCACTATTAATAGCTACTTTTTCTCACCCTTTTCGAATTCATTGGACGTACCAGTGGTGGAGATTTTAAGGTATCGTAAGGGTTTTCCCCCCTAAATTTTACGCCACTGGAAAAAATAACTTGACAGCAAATTCTAAAGCGCCAATGAATTTTACACAATAAGAGTTCTCTTGATTCATTGCTCTAAAGTCAACCGTTTTCAAGAAAAATGACTTTTTATGAACAAAAGCAAACATTTTGCTAACGTTTCGAAAATCTTTTGTAATTCAAAAAATAGGTAGTAATAATTAACAATTTTAACGAAATTTAACAACAGATAGGATTTTAACTTTTTTTTATCAATTTGGCGAGTAAAATTTACAGAAACTGTTCAAAATTACGTCCGTTGGCTTGAATGCACGCATTACATCTTCTAATCATGTTTCTTTCTGCCGCTGCGGCTTCACCTCTATCGGTCAACTTTTCGATAGTATTGACATGGAACGTTAGCAAAAATGTTTGCTTTTGTTCATAAAAAGTCATTTTTCTTGAAAACGGTTGACTTTAGAGCAATGAACCAAGAGAATTCTTATTGTGTAAAATTCATTGGCGCTTTAG